GCTCACGAGATAAACGACTCAAACTCATTTTTCAGGGGACCCTGATTAAAATGCCATAAACATCCAGGAAAGAGAGAGGACGTTCCATCTTTCAGTTGGTTAGAGTTTTTTTTGTTTTGTTTTCTCCTGACGCTGGGTTTCCCTGTCCCCTAAGAAGTATAAAGAAATGTTTGAACGGGTATCCACAGCGAAACACCCTCGGCTCCTTTCTGAAGAGCACTTCGGAATGCTAACGCCCCTTTGCAGCTTTCCCTACCACACGCTCCTGAAATAGGCCGGCATAGCGCCGTGCAGCTGAGCTTCCATCCATCCCCGCTATTCCGACCCAGTCCCATTTTAATAGGACAGATTCAGCAAACCTTTATTTAGAGAATAAAAGTTTAAAGCTGAAGGTTATTTATGGTTCCACAGAGATAGGTCCTGAGTGGCTATTTAGAAGCACGTGATTCCAATAAACTTTGTTTTATGGCTTGAGAGTTGACAAGCCAAAATATAATTCCCACCATAAATTAGTTTAAGAGCATACAAGTGCAGATGCTTTCGTTCCTGGAAGCAGTAATCGGGAAAGTGTTAGCAGGGAACCGTCGGCAGGAATGCGACCGTGCAGGCACCTCTGCTACCGGGTCCCCCAGGCCGCGGGGGGAGCGCACAGTAAGTCCGCTTTCAGCCTCCCCGCCGCCGCGCTCGGGCTCTTTGTGCCCCGAGGAACTTCATGGGAACGGGGTACCAGCCTGGCAACGCGGAACAGCTCTGTTGGGGGAAATGGGCAGGTAGAGCTCAGGTGGCTAGGGGTGCGCCGGGATGAGCCGGTTGGTCTCTGTCTGACATTTCTGAATTTGATGGGATTTCTTATTTGCAGCTAACCATTTTTTTTAATTAAAATTTAAAAATTAAAAAAAAAAAAAAAAAAAAAAAAGAATGCTTAGTGGCAAAATGCTGATATTAGTCCACTCTCCTCTCAGGCTCTGTATGTTATCCAGAGTGGGCAGAACTAAAAACAAACACACAAAAAAATCCAACCAAAAACGATCTTGGGAAGTTCTATTTAGTGAACTATTGATATCTAGGCAATTGCCCTGTGTTTAAAACAATAACTCTCCAAGATATCGTAGGAAGGCAATAGAGGAGGTGAAAAATAGCTTAGAGAAGAGGATTCCCCATTAGTATTTACTTTTAAATATACGACGCTTTTCAGGAGCATTAGAGTAAGCACGTGTTTTTGTTTCCCTTATTGTGCTCTTTGCATATATTTATTAAAATATTTGAAGGAAAGTTCAAGTTAAATCTATCCTTCCATAGTGCAAACAAAGATGTATGTCTCGTGGTTACTGATAGGTTAATTAGGTGATCTTAAAAGGGATCTATCTTAGAGTAACCGGATATTCATTCTAATAGAACTGTAGTTCTTTCTGTGCTCTACATGGATATGATGTTGCATGGCGTATTGTGACATTTTGTGGGTGATGGTTTAGCAAAGGTGATCTGAATATTCCATTTCTAAGTGACTGGATTGCCACAGAACAAAAAAAAAAAAAAAAAAAAGAAAAAGAAAAACCTTTGTTATTCTTCTTTTCCATCTTTTCCGTCAGTGAAAGAGGGAGCTCTGACTTTTCCCGTCTTTAGAAATTATCCGGTATAAAATTTAGACTATGAATATTAAAAGTGAAAGATCACACCCCGGGCACAGGGAAAGCGTGTGTTCATAAAAAACTGCCTGAATGCAACGTGGTCCTCATTTGGAAGGGGCTTCCATCCCACCACTCCGCTGCTCGCAGGATTTACCATCAGTTCCTCTCTGCCTTCATCTATCAAACGTGGTTTGTAACCATTCTCCAGAAATATCACCCGTATGTGGAATACAACAGTAACAAACGTTTTTATTGCAACAGGTTCAGCAGCATGGAAGGACATCCACGGTAAGTAACCTCTTATTTCTTGTAGAGTCTGAGTTGCTTGAAAATCCTGTTTCTTCCATTCAGACTGGAAAAATTAAAAATGATGATGCCTGATGAATATTGCTACTCAACATAAATAAATTAATTAATTAAAAAAAAAAAAAAAAAAAAAAAGAAAACGACCAGGTCAGCATGTGAAGGCTCTTGTGGAGTTGGTTTGTGGTACCATGTCATAACTCTGGCTGGCACTAAAAGCAGAGGTGCAGTCTCCTGGGGGATTATGACAGGACTGTACAGGTGTCCTCCTGCTCTTAAGCACTCCAAGACAATTAGCAGCGTTTCCATTTCAACTAGGCGGGACTGTACAGCGCCTCCCTGTGCAGAACCCGAACGGATCACGTTGTGTCCCAGCGCCTCATAACCTTGGCTACTCCCACTGTTTTCTCCAGATGGGATCCCAAGCAGAGCTGTGCCTGCTTTCTGATGTTCCCCTCGTTTGATACAGCCTGGTGACTGGGTGAAAGAAGTGATGGGAGCTGGGAGCGGTCCGCGCTGGCCAGCCGGGACAGCCCAGCTGCATCCGAGTCCTGCGGGCGGTAGAGCTGATCCGCTGCTGCTAGTTCTCTCCGGGCAGGGAAGACTCTAATGTGGATTTAAATGTTGTGAAGGCACGGGAATGGGTATCAGAGCTTAGGAAGGCAATCTTTTATTGTAGGGCTTTTCGCACCACAGATGGTCCTGCTTGAGTTGCTCTGGGGGAACCGAGAGGAGGGCAGCAGATAAACGTGCATCAGGAAATGCTGTTGAACCTTTCTGGCTGTAGTGAGGAGCTAAGAGCATCAGTCCTGGTGTTCTAGGCTGAGACTGGCTCGTCTCTCAAAGAGGGAAAGAAAGCTTGCGATATTTGGAGATGCATTAGGTTCTACACTGCCCTCCCCGCTACTACCAATCCCACTCTGACCGAGAGCATGTAGAGGAGAGGAACTGTGTTTGTTTGCATTTCCCCGTTTCCTCTCCCTGCTTCCTGATAAATAACCTATTTCATTGCCTGTGCTAAGCTTCTCCTTGTCTTTTTGCCTTACGTGGCTCTATTGATTTTCAAGCCCTATAAATACGAACTAAAGAATCGCCTTCAGCATTGCAGTTTTAACTGTATTCCATAGGTAACTTTCCTCCCCTCGTAGCTCAGCCCTGCGTTACGTAGATGTCCTTGGCATTTTATTCCGAGGCTGGCCCTAGACGTATGGATTACTTGTTTTCTGCTAACGTACATTTAGCATACTGACTAGGAACCAGAATACAAAAACCCTGATAGATCAAAAGTATTTTGTATGGGCAGAAGAACAGGAGGTGAATATATAACGCTTTTGTTCATCAATAACTCTTTGGCTTTGACCTGTCTGAGCAAGTCGTGCAATAAGGTGAAACGCAGGTCACAGCGTCTAACAAATATGAAAATGTGTAGTATTAAGCAGAGCGGGGAGCTGCTGCTTCCCCAGACCCTTCGCTTCTCCCTGGGCAGCCCTCGGCGGGCTTGTCCGCTCCTGGGGGCTGCCCCAAACGCGAGCTCGCACTGGGGGGCGGGGGGTGTTACCCTGCCAGTTCAGCCGGGTGGTTAATAACCCCCGCGGAGGCGGGGGGTACCCCCTCCCCTCAGAGAAAGGAGGAGAAAGCGGGGCGAGGCGCTTAAAATAGTTGTGTGGAGATTTAAATAAGCCGGGGGGGGGGGGGGGGGAGGATTAAGGACACAAAGTCGCTTCGAGTTGCACTTGCTGTGAAGAAGGCACCACAGCAGTGGTAAGAAAGCAGATGTTTAAAAATAGCATCTCCCAGATCAGGCAGTTGGGAGTTGGAACCAGGCAAACAAACTGGTACACACCGCTCGGATAAGCGCAACACCCCCAAATCCACCCTCCGCAGTGGTTGGATGTATCACACCCGCACCATTATTTGTCCTTATGGTGCCTGTTTTAAATAGTGGAAGGAGAAGAGGTTGACCGCAGGACAGCAGTGAGGAGCTGGGTCAGACACAATTCATGAACTTTTGTACTCCTGTGTGCCGCTGTCGACAAAGTAAAAATAATGAAACTTTGTGATATGTTTGTAAATGATTTCGGATGACCTCTCGCCCTGCCCTTCACCATAAACGCTACGGAGGGGAAAACCTGGGAGGGTGCGAGGCTGCGGCTCGCGGGCAGCTCGCGGGGATAATAGCTAGACCAGCATAATGGGATGAAGGTAAATTTGGAAACTCTCTTCTTCCCGAGAGCAACTAACTCCAGCCTTTAATCTCATCTTTTTCACCAACCGCTGTTTCTGTTGTCGACTGTTTTACTTCTGTTTCGTTTGTGGTTTTTTTTTTTTTTTTTTTTTTTTTTTTTTTTTTTTTTTTATTCTTTTTTATTGGGGGGGGGAATTCTGATTATGGAGAATCTCTTCGGATTCGTGTTAGTCTAAATAGTTAAAGACTCCTTTCTAAATTACTTTAACCATTATTATTCTAAATAGCACAATTTGACCGATCAGGTCAGTTTTCCGTAGCGAGGACGTAAACGGCAGAGAATTTAAAGAGAACGGCAGGTCTTTCTGAGAATTTGGTAGGCGAAATTCGTCGTTATGATTTGGTGGAGACTCGTATAGCTCTATTGCAGCAATTATAACAAGGATGAATCTTTTCCGAAATCCCACCTTCCTGCAAATCCGTATTTCAGAACTGAGTCCCAGCAGAGTAGTTTACATTCCTCAGAAGACAGTAAGAAACTAAGAGAATTGCAAAGACCTGCTATATTATAGATGAAAACAGAATGTTATTACGTTGTCTATATATACCCTGTAGAACCGAATTTGTGTGATATTCATATAGTCACAGATTCGATTCTAGGGGAATATATGGTCGATGCAAAAACTTCACCTTTCTGCAAATGGTTAGAAGTTTAAATACGGGTGGAATCAAGAGGCATGTGCGTGCTGAACACTCAAAAATTATAAAAGTTTTGCTGCCTCGCTCCTAATTGCTAGGTTTTAGGACTTTTTTTTAAACTTCAATTGTCTTTCAGTCCTAACTTTCACCGAAAATCTGTGAATTTAAACAATTAATCTCACCAGAAGCTACAAATTTTCGGGGGGAAGGGGGGAGGAGAAAGAAATTATTTACCAATCAGTGAATGACTCTTTTAAAAGATACTCATAAATTAGCTAGATATGCCAGACGTTAGCAAAATTTCTCTGTCAAGGGTCCAGATCACACCAAAATATTTACGACAGCAGCAAAAGCAGCCTTCGTCTGACTGGAATGTATTTACTTGTGCTCCAGGCATGATATTGATGAATGAAGACCGAATTTATCTCATTAAACCCGTGATATTTTTAACCTAATTAAATGACGTCACCAGTTCAGTTGATTGAACTTTAGTAGTTAAAAGTGAACTGTTTCTTGCCATCTGTATGATTTTACATATATACATGTATAGATTTATATTTATACGTTGGCGTTTGCGTCTGTGCGCGCATACGTACGCACACGTATATATTGAGACTTGAAAGTGAATGAGAAGTTACTGATTGCCTAATTTTATTCAGCAGAACTAAATTCTGGTAACTTTTGGATGACCTCTGCGAGACAAAGACAGGACAGATCTATTGTACATCATATTACCCTCTTCTTTGACGGCTTTTCTTTTCCTCTACTGCTTAGCAGTTTCCTCTTTTTTAACCCCGCTTCAGCTCATCGCTCCGTATATTCCTTTCGATTTTTTTTTTTAAATTTTATTTAAAGCAAGGTACCAAGCCCCGGCGGTGATGCTGGCTGGTAAATCCGGCGGCGGGTCTGCATCCCCCGGGGCTGGGGGAAGCCGGCTCAGACAAAAGGCTGTGGGCAGGGCAGCGGCCACCGCCCCGGGGTACCCCTACACCTCCGGTACCTGGTTTGGGGGTGCGGCCCGCCGGAGAGGGGGGTCACCCAGTCAGAGGGATGTTATTGAGTGGAATCGGGGAAAATGCGGGGAAATGCGGCGGTGGGCGCCCGGCTCCCCATTGGCCGGGCCGGTCACATGCCCGCCTAACTTTATTCAGTTGACAGCAAGTAGGAGGGCTCTATGGCAGGGGAAAAAAAGACAACACGAGAAAAATTAGTATTTTCTACCTTCAGAAATTAATGGCCATGAGTTCGTATATGGTGAACTCTAAGTATGTGGATCCCAAATTTCCTCCTTGCGAGGAATATTTGCAGAATAGCTACCTAGGCGAGCAGGGGGCCGAGTACTACAGTGCCTCGCAAGGCTCTGATTTCCAGCACCAGGGACTCTATCCACGGTCAAACTACAGCGAGCAACCCTTTAGCTGTAGCAATGCCCAAGGCTCTGCCGGGCAGCCGCGGGGTCACGGACAGGAGCAATCCGGCCCGGCAAGCCACTTCCCCGGCCCAGCAGAGCATTGTCCACCGCCTCCAATGTCCAACTCGCGAGCCTGCAGCCAGCAGCCGGCCCTCAAACCCCCAAACGGCTCCGCAGTTAAGCAGCCAGCAGTAGTTTATCCCTGGATGAAGAAAGTCCATGTAAACTCGGGTAAGGATCCTCTTCTTACTTTGCTCTTCTACCCTGCTTCCGATCGTCCTCGGCGGCGCTTGCCCGAGCCCCTGCCAGGCTCGTGGACGAGCTTTTTAAGCCGAGGTGGCCAATTACACTCGCCATAAATTTTTATTGCTGAGGAAATAGGCTGTTGGCCACGCGGGGCTTTGCCGTGCAGGATAAAACTCCATTTTAGGAGCCTGCTAGAGGCTCCCAGACTACCTAGCTGCGTGTGCCCGTAGTGCCTGCCTCAAACGTGGGGGAGAGCAGCCCGTCCATTGTAAGCAACTGGGACGAATCCAGCCCGGCCACATGCTCGCAGCTCATAAGGTTTTCTTTTGTAAAGTCGAACCGGCAAGTCAAGATTAGCTTTGTAAAGTTCTCCGTATTTTTTTCCCAGTGAATCCCAATTACAACGGAGGGGAACCTAAACGCTCCCGCACAGCTTACACCAGACAGCAAGTCCTAGAACTGGAAAAAGAATTTCATTTTAACAGGTACCTGACCAGGCGCCGCCGTATCGAGATAGCCCACACTTTGTGTCTCTCTGAGCGCCAGATCAAGATCTGGTTTCAGAACAGAAGAATGAAGTGGAAAAAAGATCACAAACTGCCCAACACGAAGGGCAGGTCTTCTTCATCTGGTTCAAACCCCCATTTACAAACTGGTTCCAAGGACCATCAGACTGACTTGACAACTTTGTAGAAGAGGTGAAATTTTCCATTTCATCCTTCGCTTCTGACCAGTACTGTACATAACTGACAGTGCCCAAGCAGAACCTGCATGTAGCAGCTAAGGACACGAGAAACTGTCATCTTTCTTTAAGGTACTGTTGTACAAAGGAGACAAAATGACGCTACTTTGGACTTTATTTTATTTGCCTCTTCTAGCACAACTTAAAAAAGGAAAACAAAAAAAGGGGAAAGAAAGAGAAAGGGGGAAGAAAAAAAAACAAACCATCACGCAGGCAGTGGGAATTGGGAAAATATTAAATGAGACCTTCTGTCCTTAAAAAGTAATAAATCATTGAAAATGAAACTGTCCTGTGTTTCAGTTTTGAATTCGAAAGTGAAGATTGGATGCTTTATTCTGGGATTTATACTTTTAATTGTCTTTCTATCCCATGCAATTTGGGCACGGATGCATTTTGGGCAAGTTGAGGACAGGAAATTCATAGTATAGTCTTTTATTTGAACATAAAGACTATTAAATGTGAACTTTTTTTGTGCTGCTTTACCTTTCTTGGTGTGATGAAAATACTTGCTCATTTCCATAACGTCTCAGAAGGTGTGCATAGGAATTAAGTGAAAACGGGTTATTTTATGTTCTGATAGTGGTAGCGTATTTATTTATTTGTTACATAGAAGAGTGAAGACAAAAAGAAAAATAGTCAAACCAAAAACGGGGAAGAGGAGCTGAAATACAGTGTTTCTCCTTCCCAATCTCATCAACACATATGTAATGTTTACTTGTCTTGAACGTACACAACTTTCTTGTCCCCCCTTTTTTTATTATTTTCCTCCTTTGTGAATAGGAAAAGCGTCCCTGCTCCTTATCGTGTGCCATCCAGAGCTTACAGGCTTGAAATCTGTTTCCAAAGTCTGCTGCTCAGCGCTGTGCTTTAAACCATCAATACCTCATTTTAAAAATGGAAAGGGGAAAAAAAAGAAAAAAAAGAGGGGAGACCACAAAAAACACCTCCTCCCCCCCCAAAAACAAACCCAAACCCCAACAAACTCGAAACAAACAATAGAACTACCACCGTCACCAAAAAAAAGTGAAAAGTTAATGTGATTTCTGATATAACCTGAGCCATTCAAAGCTGAAAACTGAATACATTATTTCAAGCAGATTTCAAATTTCTTTTCTGCTAAAGAGAGATAGGCTATGTTGGCTGCTGTCTTGTTTTGTTTTAGGTTCATTTTGGTCTGTTGGATTTTTGTGGTTTGGGTTTGTTTAGGTTTTTGGTGTTGTTTTTTGTTTGTTTTAAGAACAGTGATTGTTTTTAAGCAAACCACGACACATGACTGCAACGGTTGGAAAGCTCAGCAAGTTGCTTTCATGGAAAGAGGAAAGGCTTGCATGGGAATAGAGCTCGTCTAATACTGATTTGGCCCTGACTGCTGGTTGCCAAAGTTTTAGTGCGCTGTAACTACGAAAGCCAACCAAACCAGCTCCCTCAGCCACTTACACCTCCGCTCAGGCGATTTTAAAGCTCAGCCCTTATCTCCTGTACCCTCAGGGCAGCCTGGGAGAGGAACTATATAGTCGAAATTGTAACGAGGTGGTCCCTTTATTAAAGAGAAAAGGGGTAAAGAATGAAACTCATACCAAAACTGAAGGGAGGTGGAAAGAGCAGGGGCTGAGTTAACGTGCCCTTCTCCAGGCTGGGTGCTTCCCATCGAGGACTCAAGGCTTTTGGGCTCGCTCGGGAAAACAGCGGCCAAAATGGGATTAAATTAATTCGAAAATAAAAAGCGAACTTTTCAACAAGGGTGTATTCAGCAGTGTTAACTGTGGTCAGCAGTTAATTTCTGCCTTTTTCTCATTCCTAGAAGTCCGCAAAGTGTCTTTAAGACTTGCTCTTTTGTTTTAGAGCCTGGAGAAAACTCTTTGTTCTTCCTTAGGGTTAGCCCAGTTCTCAGACTTGCACATGGCAATACTTGAATATCTCCACGTCGTGATATTAAAGATGGATATTCCCGCATTATTCGCATCATTGTTTCTATGACAAAAAGCACCGAGTTCATACATAGTAAAGACGTCTTTTTTTCTGGCGCCTTCACGTTGAGAAGCTGAAAAGGTATTTTACTGAAGTTCGGCTAAATTGCAGGAACAGGTTCACCCAGAGGACAAATTTTCTATTCGATTAGTTGTATTTCAGCCGGGAAGAGTGACCTCTAAACCCTTAACCTTTTGGACCCAAAATACCCTTCCCTTTCTCTGGTATGGAGAGCAGCTAGCAGCAGGGCTTGAGGAGGGAATTCCTGAGACAAGTTTTCAAGTTTTGTTACACCAGGTTCCTTCGGTAGTGGCCTTTCCTCTCCAGAGCTGTTCAAAGCCATCCTTTCACTCTTCAGACGAATCTACGAAAATAAAGGGGGGGAAAAAAAGGGTGTGGAGAAGTAAAACCTCTCTAGCTGCTCTTCTTGAAAATCCCCCTCCCGGACCCCCGCTGTTTACTTAAAGTCTGTGATAAGTTGACTGCGAGCAGGGAAAATGTGTTCTGAGAGAGAGACACCTACTTTGGCATCTGTGGTACAGTTCTGGAAAATAATGGCCTCGGATAAGCAAATCCTTGCTTTGTGCTTCTAATCGACCGAGATGGCTCCCGAAGTTAAAGGACCAACTTCTGCTCCCAGATTACCTTCCCCCGCCCACTGAAGTCAAACAGGGATGTAGCTGCGAGCAGAATTTGTCTCATTGTCTTTTGAAATGTTAATAACTCCGGGACGAGTGTTGGGTTCAGCAGGCACAGCTCTTACAACCCTGTTTGCAAGCACCCTTTGAGCGAGGCCGGGGCACTATAGGTTTACATAGGTGTAATTGCGCTGTAAGATCGGAGAATACTTGAAGTGGAGGCAGAAAGTACCAAAAAGAAGTAGTTTTCAGCTGCCAATGCTCTGAAGGGTCAGGAATGTCTGTAATAGCGACCAGGAGCACCCACTGGTTCTTATCTCCGGTGCAAAACGAACCTGAGGTTTATTTTTTAGTGGTTTAAACCCTTCTCCAGAGATATTTTGTGTATGAAGCGAAGCCGGTTATTTTTGTTGATCATGGGTGAACGTTGTGGATTGGAGCCTTTGTTAAACGGTCGCATTGTTCAGCAAATATTCTCATCTCTGTTAAAGTGTGATGCTTTTTATAGACTTTGCTGATGTTTTGCTGCCATTGATTAAAGCGTTATTTATACTAACTGTCGCCTGTAGTTTTGATGTAAGATCTCCACATAATTTCGAAATAATAAAAGGTGTAGCGAAATAGATTCTGGTTTGTACCTTGAACAAACAGTGCTTACAAGGTAGATCTCTCTTCTGTGAAAATGCTGGTCCCTCCCATCATTACAGTGTTAAAAGATGAGTGACTCTGCATAGCATCCTTCCAAATGTCCCTTTGAACAGGTTTGCTGTTTGCCCCAGCCATAATGGTGTGACTCTAGGCCAAGCTGGAGTCTATATTTACTTTTAGGCTGCAGTTAAAAGTGCCTGTCATCCATTTGCTGCTGCTTTGCATTTAACAAGCCCTCCTAGAATGACTCCCGGATTTCTGCATGTGTGGTAGGAGTCAAGGAGCCACACCTGAAGTCACCTCGATCCCCACGCAGATGTGTGCCTTTTAGGTGAGTCCTGGAAGGAACCAATGCAAGAAAGAAATGGAAATTTCAAATTGCAATGTAGAGACTAGCTTTTCCTGAGCAGTAACTCTCATTTTGACAGTGGATGCAAAAGGAAGATCACAAGAAAACACAAACTTGGAGATTTTAAACTTTCCCCTGCAACTAAGGCAAACATTTTTTTCTCCCCTGTGTAAGCACCTCAGACAATAACACATACATCTAGCCAGGAGAAGTCGATCGCACTATTTTTGTAATAAGTACTTGTCACTGAGGGCTTGTCCTCTCCTGGAGCGTGGTCAAGGCACGAGTCCAAAAGTACAGTCTCTGGCTCAGCCCAGCCAAGGAGCAGGGTGCACAGCAGAAGACATGTGTCTCTACTGCCCGAGTGCATGGAGGGGAGCGTGAGGGTGCCTTTCTAAGCATACAGTCGCTAAGTTTAAATATTGAGGCGTATTTTGTGATTACACCTTCTCTCTCTCCTCTTTAATAGCTCCTCCTGTTACTCCCGATACATCAATACAGTTCTGTATATTATATCACCACTAGTCGTTAAGGTAAGAATGAAGAGGAAAGGCAGAGTCAATAGCAAACCCCACTCACTGTACAGTACAGTAAATAGGGACCTCTCGGTGCAGAGCCACACCGCTTCCAACGGCCATGTTTGTTAGCCCTTTCCCCTGATTCTTTTTCCTTTTTTTTTTTTTTTTTTTTTTTTCCTCCTTCCCCCCAAGCCTAGAGACCAAAATAATCTTGCTAGGAACAGTCATAACAGGCAGAATTTCAAAGTGCAAGGAAGATGATAAGAATAGATTTCTACAAGTCCTGACCACGTGATTTGCGAAATAATTAATTCAGCACGTCCCTTAAGAAACACGGAGTCGTCATTAATCTGCCAAGCAAAGGACTCTATCAGACTTGAAAACTGAAGAGATCCCAAGAATATAATATACAAAGAGTGCAGTCCCTCTCCCTGCACACCTAGCTCTTTGGTAGCTGCTGAAAAAGAGACGCATGGTACGTAAATATTTTTTATTTTTATTTCTCCTTATTTAAGCCTTAATGAACTCAGCTGTCAAACACTTGACAAATAGGGCACGCTGCTTCCTGATTTCCAGCTCGGCAGCGGCCGGGAACCGGACCGGGCGCAAGCGGTGACCTTTGCTTCCCAGGGAGCGGGGGAAAGAGGACGAGCGCGGAGCGCCGCGGAGCACCGCGGAGCAGGGAGGCTGACCGCCCGCCCGCCTCCTGGGGTGGCGGCGCTGGCCGCGGCTGCCTGCGCGGGGAGGCGCGGAGCATCGCGGAGGAAACAATGCGACTGTCAGGGCAGCCGTTGCCCGGTCCCAGCGGCGGGGAAAGGCCCTCAGCTCCTTCGCAAGCAGGGTCGTAAATTTTGCCGTGCGTCTTTGACAGCGGGGCCGGAGCCAGCGCCGAGCGCGCCTTCCCCCTGCCGCCCGCACAAAGGCCGGCTCCGGCCCCGCTGCCCCTGCCGCCCTGCCCGCTCCTGCCCTGCCCGCCGTCCTTGCTCGCCCGAGACTCGCAGCCCGGCGCGGGGCTGCGGGGGACCTCGGGCGAATCCAGCCCCCCAAGCGGGCATGCCGGCTTTCGAGTCCCGGATCAATAGCTCGGAGTAGGGGAAAGTAGGATTTGTGTTTTTATACAAAGCCACTGCTTGTAAACTCCATAGAATATGGACGACGAGTCTGAGATTTCTCTGTGAAATCCCAATCATCTGGAAATACCTTCTGCAAACAGGATATTCTCTATTATCCCTTGCTGGAGTAATTTCTAAAAAAACCTAGATTGTAGCTTTT